CTTAAGTAATAGGAGGCTTTTCTTAATCCACTTATACATACATCTTCAGTAAAATCTGAAAAGTATCTGAGCAGTCCATTGTGCAGATATTCTACTGACCTTCAGATGCCTTGACTATTTCACAAATCATTTTCGTGAGTAAAATGGACTTCTCCTTGAAGATCTCTGAAATAAGGTTGTAATAGGCGTGTTGGGCTTCAATTTGTGTGTTGATTCGAATTAGTAGCCAAACATTAGCTGCTAGGTGTGATGCGCTTTGTGGAAAAGCAAGTAGAAGAGACCTGGGGGGGATCAAACTTTTGAAACAATCTTTCCAAGCTCATCAAATTCCTTCCTGCAATCTGCACTTTTCAAAGTGCTTAAGGCTTAGATTGCCAGAGAAGCATGCGCGTTAAGACGCGTGATAACGGCAGGTCTCGGTTGGAATGGCAGCTCTCGAAGTCAATAACTCTTGTTTGGTCATGCTTCTTGTTGCCTGTAAGCAGCTTCACTTCTGTTCTGGTGGAAATTAATTAGGCCGTCAACACTGAAATTCCTGCAGAAACACATGTAGACCTGCCTCTGAAGGAAAGATTAGAGATGAACGCACTCGGTTTTCTCATTTGGATCACTTTGGAAGTGTGAATAATAAAGTAGTGGCAATTTGTCTGGTAATATACGGGATCTTTACTGACTTACCGTTTTTTGCCAACACTGCACATCTATGCAGTTTTTCACTGTCTCCAGTACCTTGAATGCCTGCCTCACAAAGTTTAAGACCGTGATAGGCAGTGTATTAAAATCAGTTATTATTGCCAGGTGCTTCTGGGATCATTTAGGTAGCCTGTCGAAGGCTTCCCCTGCCCTTTCTCTAGTACAGCATCTTAACTGCTGGAATAATTTTTTTGGCAATAAATGTCTGTAAAAAATATCCTTTGCAGCTGTTGGTGTTAACATAGAATTATTCATCTCTGTGATAACACCCTGATCAAAGATCAGTTAGTGCTTTGAACCTTCTGCAGTAACAAAATATAAACGTCTGCATTCATAGTAATTGCTTAGATAGACCTTACTTTGTTCCACGGGTGAATCGGAACAATCCAGCTAATGTATACGAGATGTCTCCCGCAAAACCTCTAATGAATATTGATGCCATCAACCCAATCTGAGCATCTATAATGTGGGCATTTTGTGTTGTAAGGGGGTATGGCCATTCTGCAGTTGATAAGGAATGGTTAGTGCATGACTGAGGCTTAACTGGATGTACCTAGAAAAACAAAACCTTTTCTTCATAAGATCAAGTTCAGCAACACCAGTCTCATGTTTTGCACACAAACGGGAGTACTTTTTTGTGAACAGCCAGCAGTTTCAGTACTGTTCCAAAAAGACCGATACGCCAACCTTTAGTATATGGTACACAAAAAGCTTATATTCAGACCCCAGGCTATTGTCTTCATAAAACATCTGTTTCAGTGTTTTTAAAACAGAGTTTAGAAATCTTTTTTAAATGTGAGCTTTCACACCCTGTTTATTTGCTGTATACTGTATTATTTTTCAAAAAAGTAGCATCAAACAAATTTTCATTAGTATGTAGTGCCTACTGTCAAGATTGTTTGATAAAGCCAAGCTGCAGTTTAGTACTGTGCTCTGTCATGTTCCTCTCAATTCTGAGGAAACCAGATTTAATTCCTGATTAGTTTTTGTTGTACCTTTAACACATAGCACAACATTAAATTGTGAGTACAGTATGTATTCTGGATGAATTGTGAATTGGATACTGTTTAAAGGACATGGACTCCAGTACACATACATATTACAGGTTTGGAGATGTCATGAAACTGCTGCTGAAGAGTGTCCAGTAACATAGTCAATGCAGTAATTAAGGTTGTAAGACCTGTAATTCCAGGGGCAGGGTGCATTTTGGGATCTGGTTTCAGCTCACAAACCAGTCTAGTGAGTTTTCTTGAATTACCCAAGAAATGCCATTTGTAAAAAATAATACCCCAGAAAGCAGATGTAAAACAAGAGCACACAGCAAAGAACATTTTATAAAGCAAGATGTGCACAGGAAGTGAAACTTGATGTAGCTGTTGGATTTCAGTGAATGTTGAGTTTAAGTTCATTATGCCCTATTAAGTCAGGTTGTACCATTGTGTTTTTTTGTTTTCTATGGATTTAATATTTTTCTTTTTCTTTTCTTCTAGGCTGCTGTTGAGTTTTCATATGGCGGGCTTGCAAAACGTCTGAAAATATGGGGCACATAGTTCTCGCTGCAATACGACTCCAGCATTGCTTCCTAAATAAAGAGCTGTAGACTATGAACAAGAAGAAATCTGGGCCTGATTAGACATGATGGTGAAGCTCTAAGGCATCATCAGACCTTCCCTTAGTACCATATAGTGTTATGTGAGACCATGCTGCGCCTCCTTTCCCTCAAGTTCGGCCGTCTGTACCGATGCCTGAAGTTCCTGTTCGTCATTGGTTTGTTCGTCATCCTGCTGATGAACACTCACAACTTGTTTGCCTCTTTCCAAAAAAATGAACTCACGGACCGTCGCTTCATCAACCTCAACAAGTGCCCCGCTTGTTTTGGCACAAGTTGGTGCCGCAAGTTCATGAATGGGCAGATCTCGTTTGAGACATGGGGACGATTGAGATTCCTTGACTTTTTCAACGTGAAAAATGTCTATTTTGCACAGTATGGGGAACCAAGGGAGGGGACCAGGAGGATTGTTCTCAAACGCCTGGGGTCCAATCAGGAGCTGGCGGAGATCGACCAGAAAATCTGTAAACGAGCCACAGGTCGACCACGCTGCGACCTGATTCAAGCAATGTACAAGACTGAATTTGCTCGCCTAAACGGGGATGTTCGGTTACTAACTCCGGAGGTTGTAGAGGGGTGGTCAGATCTTGTGCACTGTCCATCTCAAAGACTGCTGGACAGAATAGTAAGGCGGTATGCTGAGACTAAAGATTCAGGGAGTTTTCTGCTTAAGAATTTAAAGGACACTGAACGTATGCAACTGTTGATGACCTTGGCATTCAATCCAGAACCCCTGGTTCTTCAGGTATGTCCTCTGTGTTGTCTTATTTGCTCTGTTTGTTTGACATAAGGCTGTTTACTTTGATCTATGGCCAGTAGTATTCTAAAACCTAATCATAAGATTTGTGCTTGCTTTGCCCTAGATAGTAGAGCAAGTAGAGCAGAATCTATCATTTTTTGTTCTGCAAATAGACCTTGTCCGGAAGAGCACCTGGAAAATAAGGGGTATTTTTTTTCCTTTCGTTTTCTTGTTCATACCATTTTTTAGGGTTTTAAGGCCAGCCAGTAATCCATTCCTGCACAATTATTTATTTCCTGTGTTGACTCTTAAGTGGTGATGTCTCCTTTAAGTGAAGTCATTTTATCTTGAAGCACTGCATATTTAGCAATGCATTTATAGCACTTTTAATTATTTAGGCTGTGCATCTGTTAATGGTAGCTAAGAATTTCTGTGTCTCAGCCATGAGATCTGTAGTATGAGAAAAAATAACCACAAGCTCTGAAGGATATGGAGGAGCTTTGTTTATTGGAATGTCTGTATTTCATCTTAAAGGTTAGTCCTTTTCCAGAAAAAAGGAAGTTGTACACCTCCTATTGAAGGAGATTGGGATAGGTTTATGGTGCTTTACAAGATGGAGAAGGGCAAATCGCAGGCTGATTATTGAGTGCCTCTGTGCCTTTAGCTGTTTTTTCGGCTTAAAGTGTTTTTTCTGTTTATGACAAGAAACACAGGGATTCGTGCCAGGGTATTTAGAATTGCCTTTAGAAACTGAATAAAGGATCGTCTAACTGTGTAATAGCCAGTGGCGTTCTTAGTTATGCCAGTTTTCTTTGCATTTGTTTTTCTTAAATGATCCATTTTTGTGCTGTTCTCAATTTTGAAAGACTAGAGTTCTGCATTGTTTGCACAAGAGGAAAAACCAAATTCTCTCAAATGGATGAAAAGTGTTTAAAGGAATAATATTAATCGCAAGCAGAGGTTAAAAGGATATAAGACCAAGTGAGGTTGAAAATAAAATTGCAATGGTGGTTGCGTTACTTAATAAAAGGTTTTTTCAGTATTATTAAAGCAAAAGAACAGTAAAGGATGAAGTAAAATGCATCCAGGATAGTGACAGGGAAACTTTTAGGTAACAAAAAAGAAATAACTGATGTATCAAATTAGTCTTTGTCTTGGTGTTTACCAAAGTAGAAGCCTCAGACTGTAATAAATTATTTTAGTAAAGAAGCAGCAAACGTTCTGCAGATACTAGAAGCTCGTAAAATGTTAAGATTAATAATTTGCCAGGACCTGATTGTCCTGTTTCCTTAAATACATGCTATTCATAGACCATTATCATAACACTCCCAGCAAGCGCTCAAGACAAAGGTGGTGCTCATGGACTGGAAAATTGCTAATGCAGTGGCCACCTGTAAAAAGGGTGACAAAACTGAGCCAAGTAATGGATTTAATTTTTGGTTTTACTTCTGACTTTTAAAGTTATTGAAATGGAAACAATTGGAATTAAACCAGAGTATCATTATAATGGAAATAAGATCCTAGGGGATAGTGTGTTAAGGTTGGTCTTGCTTTATTTATGAAAAAGGAACAGTAGTAATAAACCATATGGTATGATCATTCATTAATGATTTTCTGAAGGCCTTTGATAGAATTGCTATTAACATTCCCAAATTACAAGCTGTATGCATTCATGGTAATGTGTGCTTGGATTGCAACAAGTCATTGGATAAACAAGTAGACATAAGGGGTGAAGGTCCTGGTTTGGGTGAAGTGGAGCAGGAATCTGCATTAGGACATCTGCTCTTCCTAATCCATTCCAAAGATCTAGGTTCTGGTATAGTTTGTACACTAGAGAGTTTCCTGATCACGCCAAAAGGGAAGTTTTACAAACGCTGTAAAAGTTGCAAAGGAAAATTAAAATGCTTGACAAAATTCAAGACTGGGCAAACCTGGCGGATAACATTTAATGCTGACAAAAGAAGAATATATACTAAACTACAGGTACCGAATGGAAATAAACTGCCCTTAATGAAGCTTTATATGAAAATAGGTGTCTTTATTGCTTCCATAGTAACATCTAATTTAGAGAAATGTGCACAATTTTGGTAATCACTCTACAACATATTGCTGTTCTAGAATTAGTCTAACAAAGAGCAACCAGATACATTTTTAGGTTTAAAGGAATGTACTAAAGTACAGTAAAGTCTTTTTAGTGTTCAACAGAGAAGACTACAATGCGAACTGATTTAAGTACTCAGTCTTCAAAGACGCACATAAAACATAATTGATGGCACACTTTTACACGGAGGGTTGTGGGAGTATGGAACAAGCTACCCAGCTATGGTTTTGAGACTGATACCCTGCCATCTTTCAAGGAAATGCTGGATAAGAGATTGGGCTAAAAAAAATGTATCTGTACCCTTCTGTAGCATCTATTGTATACTACATCAAGTGAAATGTCTGCCATATTACATTTTAAATTACTTATTACTTTACACACAATAGGCATAAATAACATCATGCCATTTACATTTAACCAGTTTTCTTGCAAACTAATATTTAATGGTGAGCCAAAAATGCAGCAAGATTGGATTAGTTCAAAACAACTTACATTCACTTGGAGGCCACAATTACTGGCAACAACTTTTTTTGTATAAGAAACCAGACTCCCTTTGTCAGCTGAAAAAAATTCTTTGTGTTATAGTAGGCTTGGCAGACAGTGGGGACTGTGTGCTCAGACGAATTGGAGTACAATTTCCCTGCTTGTAAAGTCATGAGTAGGCTTGGCTGCTTGGTTTTGAGGGGGAAAATATTTTTGCAAAAAAAAATAATGACAGAACAACTGAAGCCTTGTGAAATGTAAATCTCTAAATGCAGTGTATTTTTTTTAATCCAGATATGCCGAATACTGTTAATGAGCAGTTATTTTAAAGTCTCTACAGGCCTAAATCCCCCATCCCAACCACCACCAAAACATTCTAAAACTTGAATAAAACTCCTGCCCTGCACAGAAACATTAACAACATTACCCGTTTATTTGACAGGATACCTTAACTGGCAGAAATTCCTCAATTTGAAAGAGCTCCTATAATCGGTGTATGTTGACTGTTCCCTTCTTCCTTTTTCAGAGTCTTCAGGCCCATCTGTTCAGTCATGCTGAGAATAGTACATGACATGTTTTTGCGGTTACGTCAGTCAAATGCATTCGTTTTCTACAGACGAAAACAGAACATTTCGGGTCAGTTGTGATGTTCTGCTTTTAAGTTATATTGAGATTAGTATCTCAAAACAAGTAGGTGTATTGGGGAAAAAAAGCTCTAGGGTCTTAATTTAAGAACTGCAAAATCAGGAGTTGTCAAAAAGCTAGTTCAGTTTTTCATGTAATATCTTTCTATGCCCTATATTAATTGTTAAAGTACTGTATGTGCTGTAACTGACTAATAGTTCTACTTTTGAAATCGCACAATATGCCACAGACTTTCATGAATATCCATATATTCTGAAACAAGCATATTTTTTTTTACAGGCGCGTACATGTTCAGTTTTAGAAAACTGAATTTGGTGCAGTCAGAAGGGAATTTTAATCATTTTTAGAAAACTCGAAATCCACTGAAAAATAAAATGTAACACATACGGTTTTTCATGTTGATTAATCCTTTTTTTCCATTTCTGAATTAACTCTTAACCATTAAGGTGGTTGATTTATCCTCATGACTGCTATCACAATAGCATGTATTAACTAAATCAGTGGAGAAATACTGATAAATGACAAAAAAAAAGGCTTTCTTGCTATCAGTCTTGAGATTTTTAGTAATCAAAATAACTTCACTAAGTTTAACATCAGCACTTTTTTACCATTACATGCTAACCACCTGCACACCTGTGGCAGGTAGATTTCGGTACATCGGAGCACTTTTTAGCAGTAGATCTTGTCGCTGAGCTGTTTAGATGTATGCTTACTAGCAGTCAGTGCTGACACTATAAATTGGATTGGTTTAATTTTGACTGTAAGTATATAATGTGTATTAGGCTTCATATATACAGCACTACACCAGTGGTTCTAACACTTATCCTGGGGGATTCTTGTACCATCTGTTTTTTTGTTCCAGCTGAGCTCTTAATCACAGGCTGTTTGATTTCAATTGTCTATCTAAGGTATATTTTTAAACTTGCTTAGAGCTCTTAAAAAGTTGAATGGAATTTATAATTGGTCCCCATCCTGTACCAATTTGAGTCTCATAACTTGTTCAGATATGTTGCCAGGAAAACACTCACTGTGGTTTCCTGATGCATTGTCATTCCCACCTGCTATTATAATCCAAATGCCTATTAAGAGCTGTTCAGACAGAAATAAGAGAGCAAACTATATTTAATAAAGTGGCTGAGGAGAAATTGGATAAAGGTCTGTATGTGGAACAATGTACTTGTGGCAAGGTATTTTTGATACCAGGGACAGAGTGTAAAAACAGTTAAGCAGAAGTCTAAGTGATCCACTTGCTAGTTTTCTTGCTAAAAACATCAGCCAGCAAAGGTGAAACACGAAATGTATGTGAAATGGTTTGTGCACTGTAGCTTAATGTCCCCAAATGCTTAAAGGCTTTTTATTATTCTAGAGAGGCTTTTGATTTCGGACTAAAGCCAGTTGATGTGAGATGGGGAAATATCTGAGACCGTTTTCCAGCTGCTTAAAAACTTTGGCTTGTCTCCCTGGATGATGGTGTAGAGAAAACTGATTGCCTGCTGCCTGGTGGTCCCAGGGACTTCTCTTTGAATAGATTCTACTGCCTGTGAACCAACCTACTCTGCATTTAGATGCTAGCTGTTTGGTTAGATTAACAACGAGTAACTTCTAAGGAGTTTTCTGTTTGGGTGTTCTTTTGCATCTTTTGATATTTACAACCAGCCATGTGTTGGTCAGTGTGATAATTACTTAATCTCAGAGCCTGAAGACACCTGTCTACCCCACCCCATCTCCCCCCCAAGAGACATACTTTACCACTTATTTCCTAATTAAAGGGTTTGTAAACATATTGAAGGTTGAGGTCAAAAACCAGATGGAGGCTTGCGGAGCTGCAGCAAAGGGAGATAAAAGAATGTCTTAATGACAGATTTTTTATCCCTCCCCTTCTTGGTTGCAGACATTATACAGGAGTGTCATTTATCCTTAACAGCTTACCTGGCACAACAAATACTGACTGAATATAATTTGCACAGAGCATTACAGTTTGCAGTTAAGAGGCTTACACTTTCTGGTTTATTCTTTAACATTGTGAACGTGATGATTTAGGAATACTGGGTACAGCTTAATCTGTTTTCTTGTTTTTGAACAAGTCTTGAAAAAGATCTTTCAGAAATTGCATCCAGGTCTTCTGTGCACTTCTGTCCTTCAACACTTCTCTTGCTCTACGCAAGCATGATTCAGTCATTTTGCATCAGTGTGCATGTTTTCCTAAATGTGTATGCTTTCTTTGTACTCTGAAGTGTAGCAGAGTTGCAGGCAAGTGCAGGTTTTTGTTTTCGCCAGACAAGCCCAGGCAGCGTGTAGTGAGTGGAGCGTGCCAGCAAGTGGGTTTTGAGAAGTTTCCACTGGGGCACTCCATTCGTTCTGGGCTGGTTGTGGTTACATTTTTAGTAGGTAAGAAAATGCCACAGTAAAGGTGGCTGTTATACCCCCATAAATGGAAGGTCAAGCCAGTAAATTTAAGTCCGGGTAAGAGATTTTAAAAAATGGTTATTTTGCACAAGTGGAGCAGCTGTAGAAGAGAGGATTTCTTCCTGTAGGGATGTGTGGCGAGAAACCTGGGATCCTTTTTGTTAAATGATTGTTTGGTGTGCAAGACCAAATAAAAATTCCTTCTGGAATATGTATAGCATATTTATGTAAAGCGGTTTTTATCCTGAAGCAGATTACATGTAATTAATGTAATATTTTATTCCTCTCCAAAGTTCAGGACCTGCCAGTGTTCCACCCATATCTATTAACAATACCTTTTCATTTCTACAGTATCGGATGCCCCTATGAGGGAGTCAGGACAGCACATGCTTTTGTTGTTCTCTAGCCTAGTCTCAAGTAGTTTTTCATCCCCACTTTTGCACTGTTTTTTGGAGGTTCATTGTTTAACGGCAGCTTGCTTGTGTTTGTATAGATTATTTTGGATCCAATAATTACTGAATACATGCACAAAAATGTGCGCTGAATGGTAATTGTGAGTTATCCAGAAAGTTCAATCATTTTATTTGCTATTTCCCACCATTTTTTCCACTTAGGGGGAAACAAAAGCTACGTTCACATTCAGACCTGTAATTGTTGAAAGCTGTATGTAGTCTGGCCTTCTTTAAAGCCATGTGCTTTTAATAAAACCTTTTCTTCTCAGTGTATTTCACCTAAATGTCACAGCATGTGAAGCTATTACACTCAAGGACATCATGAAAAAGAGGCTCAAGGGGTGTTTGTCTTTGGTTTGGAGAACTTTTCCAATGATTACTAAAAGTTTAAGGTTTCATTTAGAAATCTTTTACTGTAAGAGGTTGCGATAGACTTCAAGGAGAGAAGGGAAATAACGTTCTCAATGCAGCTTTAATGGGTAGGTAGGATTTCGTACAGGAGTAGTAGAGAAATAGACCAAGCCTACTGCAAGAAACTTGCACCAGAAAATCAGAATCTTGATTAGATGGGAAACTTCATTTAAGGGTTTCTTTGTAATTCTCAGGTTAAATCCAATATATGAACCTGGCAGTCTTAGGCACCATTTTCATAAATTGATTAAAATTATTCTCGATTTGCTATGTGTCTCCCCAGAATAAAGGCTTCTTCTGCAATGGAAGATTTAAGTTCTGCCATTGAGCTCATTTTTTATTGATTGCTGTTTATGACAGACAGGAAATATTGATGTAGCCTGTGTGGCGCTGCAAGATGTTCTCCTGATTGAGATTTTGAATTCCAGGAAATTACTTGGATAATTGAGCCTAGTACAGTTCATGCAGTTATTTACATTTTGGACATGGATCACACCTTTGAGATGCAAGATCTCGGTTCAAAAGACTTCTTGTGAAGACAGTTGATGTACAGTATACATCCGATTGTGCTTGCTGTGTATAATGCCATTTAATCTACCACATGCCTTCTCTCACAAATAATTTAAAGTTGTTTTCCGGTTTCAGCTTGCATAAAATGAATAAACCCAATAATAGTATGTCAGCTTCCTGGTTTTGTGCCTCCAGTACATTTTCAGGAGTTGCGTTTTGCTGGGTTTCTTTTAATTGCCAGTTGAATCTTGCTTGTTGTCCCTGAGGTATGCTTTGCGTCTCTTTTAACAGGAGACCTCGGATAAACAGTGAATTAATATCTTTCAAAGATCAGGCAAAGTTTCAGGGTCAGTGGTTAACTTCATGTTCAGAATTTTCAGAATACCTAAGAGAATGAGCTTCATGTTGCTCTTGTAGGAGCGTGAATGTCAGCAGAAAATTCTGTACAACTGTGCCTGAACCCGACACTCCACTGAAGAAGGAAAGAAATAAACTGACTTTACTGGATAACAGCTGTTACCGGTTGATGAGTGAGAGAAAAGAATTGCATGTTTTTAATTTTTTGAGGCTCCTTATGACATTTTAATGAAAGCAGCCATTAATATTTAAGGCCACTCATGAAATTAAAGCATGCCCAACATTGAATTTGATTTCCATTAGCTCTAAAGGAATATTATTAAGACTTGGTTGGTGAAAAGTAACACCTTTCCATTTTTTTGGCTTGTGCTTTTATTTAAAACAACTTTCATTTGCATCCCTTTATACAACTGGCTATTTTACTGGAGCAGTTCCGTTGAATAACCTTGGTTAAATGTGCAAAGGGATTACCTGGGATTTGAACCTGCCACCTTCCAGTGGTGTGTGTCCAGAACACGAATTACTTCTACTGATTCCCTGCACTGAATTGCTGCATGTGTCTCAGGAAGGGCTGAAGTCTTATTTCCACAATCGGATGGCTCAGGTGTAAAGAAATTCAACAATATCATCATTAGAGAAATGGGATAGTATAGCTTTAAATTTTAAGGTAGGATGTTTCCGTTTCTTATAAAGTTTTTGCTTTCATCTTTAATTGGTTTGGTTTCACAACAACTTGGTATTAAAGCGTGAAAAAGCAATGAAGTGAAAGCTCTGGAGGCACTCTGGAATGCGGTGAATTAAACTAATTCAGGTTACTTTGGAGTAAGCTTGTTAATATCGAGCAAGAACGTTTGTGTGCTTATTTATATTGCGTTGTGGGGTATCTGAAAGATCTAACTTTAAAGGTATTTGTCACTCACTACTGGTGTTATTTCTTTGTTGCCAATGCCCCCATAATGTTTACAGGAGTAATAAAAATTCCTTCTTTTTAAAAGCATTTTTATTTTAAAACTTTTTATGGTATTACTCATAGAGCTCACTGTGCAGTATTTTACAAACCAAATGTTTAAAATAAATTTATCCAGGACATTCCAGTAAAGCCTTCCTCTTAATTACTTGATGTGTCACTTGATTTTGTGTGTGCTTTAAACCTGATTATATATTCATTTTTTTTCTTAAACCTTGTAGGCTTCATGTAGTGTCTTTTGTATTGTATATAAATGAAGCCCTTGTTTATGCAGCAGAAAGGCTGGGATTTGTGCAAGACTCATGTCGGATGTTTGTGCTTTCTGCATACATGCTAATTTTAAATTGGCAATGAATTATTTTTTTCCACAGAGTTTCCCTTCAGATGAGGGCTGGCCTTTTGCAAAGTACCTTGGAGCATGTGGGAGAATGGTGGCAGTGAACTATGTGGGAGAAGAGCTCTGGAGCTTCTACAATGCCCCCTGGGAAAAACGGGTAGACCTGGCCACACAGCTGATGGAAATTGCAGAACAGCTCACAAATAACGATTTTGACTTTGCACTCTATCTCCTTGATGTGAGCTTCGACAACTTTGCAGTTGGACCCAGAGATGGGAAAGTCATTGTTGTGGATGCCGAGAATGTTTTAGTAGCGGATAAAAGATTAATAAAACAAAGTAAGTTCTCAGGTTATTTTTATACTTGTAGATACTTTGTCACAGCTGCCTTTTGGTGCCTCTCTGAGATAGCTGAGTTAAACGTTTCCTTATTTAACATAAAACTATAACTTTAAGGATGAGTCATCTTCGTGTAGACTATTATGCCAGAAGAGATTCTGCTAGTACTGGGACATCATACTCTAAAATGTCCATTTAGCAATACTTTGGGCTTGGATCTCACACAAAAATACCTGGCAGTATTCTCTGGTCTCAAATTATTTTTTTCTCTTTCCTTGATTGATAAGTGTAACGTTTCCTTTACATAAGGGGGTTGGGGGTATATAATTACATGTAATGGAATGAGCGAGGCGAAATGCCAATCTGTTAGGAATATATTGGGGAAAAGCACACACCAAGCCTCTCAAATTGGTAAATTTTCTTCTTACTGCAGTGCAGTGAAATATTGGTGCCGGGACTGTCACACATCATGTTATTAGTTTAATACTAATTTAAAGTATAGTAATAGTAAATGTTATTTGTATATAACCGGCATTATTTTGGGCGTTTTGGGCAGACTTAGATCTAAGTTAGGCATTTATTTCATAGATGCCAGCCTTATTAATAATGCCAACAACAGAAAGGAGAGCCAGTCTGAAATCATTAAATACCTAGGCAGTGTATCATGAAATGGCTCTCTACCCAACACATCAATTGAAGAAATTAGCGAGTTACTTTACAAGTCTGAGTGACTATGAAAGGGTTTGGTGTACCAGGGAAAATATCATCTTGTGCCAACGTCTAGTATGCCTGGCAGGGGTTGCCTGCCAATTAAGGATGGTTAAACATTCCAAAACTGAGAGGTTGCAGACAGCATATGGAAGGAATTACATGGTTCCGTTTTTAATTTGAGTTTAATATTGTAGTGTCTGAGTATTAATATTTATAGATAGTTTTTAAAAACTGAAGTACAGTAACTAAACTCTTCTTTTGTCATTTGTTGTTGTAGCTTGCTTAATGTATAGCTCTAAATTAATTCACGGCACTGTGTTTTATGTAATATGTGCTAACAAAACACGATCGTGCCGTCTGTGCTTTGATATGGTCATATTTTGATGTATTTTGTAACCACCATTCTGTACAATACATTAATAGAAATCGAATGCATAATTTAGCTGCCAGTATTTTATGTATTCATTTCACTATAGTACACAATTGTATACACCAGCCCCCTAAATTAAAGGTAAATCTACTGTATTTAACAGTCTAGGGAACAAATATTATTAATTAGTATTGCTAACTGTTTTTTAAGACTGCTTTTATTCCCAGAATGTATACCCAGATGTTTCAGTGTGTTTTGGACATTGCCTTGGGTATGATGTCTGCAGTTTTCCTTTGTACATTATAGGAATGCATCTTTTCATTCTCAGGAGCCTCCACTGTGAGGACAGGTTGAAGATCTTGGCAGTGTAGCATTGTGGCGTTGTTATGGATTGTGCGATTATTACAAAGGGTCATATTGCATTATGAACTCCTGTTCAATTTTTATTTTGTTTAATTCCAGATTTCCTCTTTTAAGTATCGAAGAAAAATCCACTGATTTAACAAATCGCAAGAGGCTTTCCGTTATTGAGCACTGTGTTCTGCTGTCCTAAATCATTAGAATTACAAATATTCACATATTGGCCAAAGTACAAGGTTTGTAATCCTGACAGCAGATGGACATTATGTATCTCACATGTGCAGAGGCTGCTGTTCCAGTGAGTAGCACATGTGGGCTTTCCTCAAGATGTGCTCTACTGACAAAATTGGCAGCATTATCGTTTAAAGTTCACTTGAAAGAAGACCATGACAAAGTAAAAAAAAAGAAAAAGATTTGAATATCTTTGTAGTAGTAATGCAGTTATTGTTTGAGAACTTCTGTTGCAAATGCTGTCCATTTAAGGCTTTAGGCACAAAATGAAAGAGTTACAAAATGACACCGTAGAACAGATATATAAATGTTTGCATTTTATTTATGGGAAATGCTATGAATGTTTAATTTAAAATGTTAAGTATTTAAAGTATTTCATGCTGCACATGAAATTGCCCCAGATCAAAATCTGACTTTGTTTTTTATCTCGGTGTGCAAGGGTTTGAGATGTTTATTACATTCCATTGGAAATACAAAAAAGACCTAAACATTGTGATTTTCTTTGTTTAGTGGTTCTCATAACGGAATAGTAAACTGGAAATTTAAGGTTGTCTTGTTGCGGTGTAATGAAAGCTATTTTCGAATGACTTAGGAGGGTTTCTCAGGAGATTTGGGTAAGTCTTTTGAGTCAAACAAATTAAAGCCATGTGAAAAGCATACAAATTCATTGAAGTCCTTTTCATTTACTTTAAGGGATGTTTGTATATCTCTGGGATTCAACTAAAGTATGTCTCTTAAATTAATTCTGTAACCCAGTATGTTTTGCTTGACTGGTTTAAATACATAAAAGCCTACATTTCCTTAGCTAGTAAATTTGAACTCTGACTAGAGTAAGTAGTTTGGTGTTTAGGCTCTATGGGTGGTCTTTCACGAATGCACAGGAATACGTCCTGTGGAAAGTTGTGTGCCTTTTTCAAGTCCAACCTTTATTAATGCTAAGGAAAGTGTTATATGTGGGTTTTTAGCATTTCAAGTTAAGTTGTATGTATACAGTAGAACGTCTTGTTCTTTGAGGTTTGTTAAACTAGCCCATAGAGACTTTATTTTGTACTCCATGCCTCTTAAAAAACTTTTTGCACTCATACAGAAAATTTTAGAATGTATTTTAAAAATGTGATTTACAAGATGGTTTGAAAACCGCAAATGAAACTCAAGGCGTGTTTGCAAATTGATGTTTTGGGGAAGATGGGAGCAGTTGCGGACCTCTGCGGCATTCATTAACAGCTCACGGTGTACAAGAAAGCAGCTGAGTGGGTATTTTTGGCAGCTGTTGCATTTTCTGAAGGCAACCATCATCAGATTTTTATGGCTAGAGTAGGAAGGAAGACAATTGTGGTATTCTGTTGACACGGCACTGTCAATTTCAGGATATGAATTGCTTGTGAGAGTGGGGTTGCAGTAAAAGATTAATTGGATTCACCCCTGCAACTTTGACAAAATGTTTAGAAATCTGTCTCCATCAGTGCTCTTCGTTGCTATTGATTGACTGGAAACAAGGCAGCATGGCTGCACGGTGTCTGCGGAAAAGCAAGACAAATTGTGATTTTGTCCAGATTGAAATAGAGGATTGCTATAGGACAACATGTGATGGGAGATTTGTATTGATTTTTGTGTTACTTTAAACCGTTTGGAGTTATTTAAATTGAATTCGTTCTAAGTTCAGAACTGTATGCAAGCCTTTCTGCCCCATTTCCTCCAAAATTTACAACTGCGAAAAGGGCTTTTTAAAGCATAGCAATGGAGCAATTTATTTGATTATACTAGTGCCATGTAAAATACTGTAAACGGCCATCCCTTCTTTTGATTATTTCTAATATGGGTACTCTCTGGTTTTTGTAAATCCGATTTGGTGTAAAAAGTGGGGCATGTAGCTCAGCCTTATTCGGTATTTCCTCATATGTGTGTCTTCTCTCACTTGTGCGGTGTCTGGAACAATTACCGCAGTGTGCTCACAGTGTTGCCCCATTAGTTGTGGCTTTAAGTCGGTCTTCTAATGTGAAAGATGCGGACGACGTGAAAAAGTGCCATATGAGTACTCTGCGAGGGTACAGTTTTATTGTTGAAGTACTGGACGGTATGCTACAATAATATTGTAATAGTGATCTTGTATTACAGTTCAATGATATGTTGTAAATGATAATATACCATATAAGAGTGCATATGGGTACACATGTAGGTATGATAACTGGCAGTTTAAGCTCTTTGTGTACTAACTTGCTCCGGCCTCTTAATAATGTTTGTCTTTTATGTATTCAGTTTTGTCACTTTGACCTAAAGTGTCCTGTTTTGTAGCTTATTGAATGGTGGTATTTACAAAGTCAGTTGCTATGAATTGTGTGAAAGTAACACATCCTTCACCACTGTTGCATGGTTGTGTGAGGTTCAGGTCATAGCCATGCTTTCAGGCTTAATGAATCCTATCCTTAGCTTCTCAGTCACATTAAGAGAATGACCACCAATGAATGTTATGGCGTGGTCATGAAATATAGGTTTGAATTTTTTTTGTTTGTCACCCAACACTTGCACAAATACTGTTTGTCATGCCTACAACTGGAAGAATCTTTGTATTTTGTAGGAAGGTGCTGATTTTCCAAATTACTCAAAACATGCAGGTCTGGAAGTAAGTGTATGTATGCAGATTTTTACAAAAACTTGCCTATGCTGTATCATGTGCTTATGGTCCATATCTTTTATTTCTGTCTCTCCCTACAGATAAACCAGAAAACTGGGATGTTTGGTATGAGAGTAAATTCGAGGACTGTGACAAAGAGGCCTGTCTTTCTTTCTCAAAGGACATTCTCTGCTCGCGCGTCACAGTGGACCACAACTACTATGCCATCTGCCAAAACCTACTTTCTAAGCATGCCATGTGGCGTGGCACCACTGGGGGACTGCTTCATGACCCTCCAGCAGAAATAGCCAAAGATGGACGACTCGAAGCCCTGTTGGACGAGTGTGCCAACCCCAAAAAACGCTACGGGCGATTTCAGGCAGCTAAAGAACTACACGATTACCTTGCGCAACTTGGCAATAAAGCAAGGTAGTGAATGGAGCTGTTGGGCTTTTTGGAGGCTCTGTTTTGAGTTGTCTTTTTTTTTTTGTGGTTCTAAACTGGGCAGCATTGCACAGTCTTTTCCCCCTCATAAGTCAGCTGTTTTTTTTTCAGTTTCTTCTTTTGTTGTTGTTATAAGAATTGAGTTTTTGTATTTAAAGGATGACTATTATGAAGTGATTAAAGTTTGCACTTATCCTGAGTGTTTGCATTTTCTTTAACTGGAGGGTGAGTGGAAGTTCAGTGTACAGCTGGATAAAATGCTGAAGGCTTTATAAATGCCACGCATATTAGAGGGAAGTCACAGTTATAATAGTGCTCAATTTTGAATTTGATTCCTCTTATAGGCGTATCTTAGCTGGTGGTCCCTTTTTCTGGTGGGCTACTTTAGATAAGACACTCATTTCTTTTAATCTCCACTGGTTTCGTCTGTAGAACTTATTGAACCTTTTGTATTTTTTTTTGTATCTGTGTGTAAAATGAGTTTACATTACTGTCTGTGTGGCCTAGATGGATTCTACTGGTAAATCCTCTGGCATTTGACACCTCTGGGTTATTTAAACAGTCCTCCCAATACTTGAGACAAGGATAATTGTGTGTCGTGTCACTTGACCTTTCCACCTATGGATGGCTGGAAGTGGTTTTTATTCAATATTGTACAGTAGATCTGTGTTTACTTCTAGTGTCCTGGAATGTGGCAATCAAAAAATATGTTGGCGACAGAGAGCATTTGAAAAATTGTACATAAGGGGGATGAAATGCTTATGGGACTGTGAATTCCCATGTATCACAACATTTGTGCATATACCAAAGATTCTGGTTATATGTATCCTAGATCCCAGTCTTGCTTAAAAATGCCTTTTTATTTTGTGCTCCCTAATGACTCAAGTGTAACTTATGTAGGAAATGGGGTATGAGCATGTAGTGAAGAAATTCATCAGTAGAAGAAACTCCTTGTGCTTTACCTATTAATATTTGATTCAGATGGTTTCACTTGTATGTACTGACTGAAAGCCAGAGGAAGTGAATATGATGAATTTAAATGGTGCGTTTCTATTGCAGTTGACCTGCACTAGGCTTTAATTAGCTTTGATAAATGGCTGGCATTATACAGCTTTCCTCTGGTCCAATAAGTAGTAACCCAAGACTGTTGTCTTAAAAGGGAGTTTATACCTGACCACTTTTTTTAATGGGTCTAGCAACATTTGTTATTTTGCTCCTTTTATTTAAAACAAAAAGTATGTATCGATAAATATGTTTACGATTTTCTTCGGGTAGCAAACAGTTTAAGAAGTTACAGAGGTTTGGAAATAAAGGTTGTGGATTTTCACAGGTGTTCTAGCATGATTTATTTCACCTTCCTACTCTCTTCTTGTTGGACCAGTAATTTACAACTCTATTTTTTGATGGATGTTCCATCATCCACTTTATACTTTATAAATAAGCAAACTTATTTTGTTGCTACTGTAAATTCCTGTGTGTATTGGATGTAAGTTAAAGCGGAAATAATTGTTTGCTTAATGGCTTAAATACACTAAACACTGTCATGTAAAATGGCATTGGAGGTAAAACCATTCCCCTTCTAAAATAATGGATTTACTTTTTTTAATACAGGGGGAAAAAAATGCTGTTTATATGGAAAAGCAATAAAGCACATTTTTAAGTAACCGTTTAGTAGAAGTGCAGTTTGCTTAGTTTACCGTTTCAGATGCCAGTTTATATTATCGATTCTTAATCCAGTTTTTGCCCCATAAGGATGTGGTAGCGGACATATTTTCCAGTGTGAGTTTGGGAAATTTGTATGTGCATAAATAACTGTCTGCTTTTGTACTGTAATTTTTCATTTGAGTATTACATCAGCAATGTCTGATTTTACTGTGCCTTTCATTAAAAAGTTGTATTTACAACTTTTAGTGGGTTTAAATATTAAAAATATATATACATATCTTAAGTGTATGGACTTTTTTTTACTCCATTTTTGTGATATGGAGTTTAATGTGTGACAGTTTGTCTTTTCTAGGTGTTAAAAAAAGTTTTTAAAAAGTTTAGCGCTATTTAAATAGATATTTTATATTTCTGGCTTTCGTGAAATATGAGTCCTGTTCAGGAGGCTTCTACTGATAGAGCGGTCTTAAGTTCAAGTATTCAGCGAATCATCTGTGAACAGGAATATTGACTGCTGGGTGAGTATTGAATAAAATTACAATTTTGTAAAAATAATAACACAGCTTTTGTGATTAGGGATTTTGGTATTTTCTCTTGTTACTATAGTTAAAATGAGAGGTAATAAACTTGTTCCCAGCAATTAATCTTATATACTATCTGCAAAATATATATTGGGCAAATAGGAAGTTGACCTATCGCTTTGTTAATAAAAACTTGCATTTTAACCTTGTTTGAACATTTAAAAAAAACATTACAAATATTAGATGTTAAAGCGGAGACAAATCAGCTTGTGTTGACTACAGATTATGAAACAGTGTTTATTTTAGAATTAAGACACTATCAGTAGGAGCAGAACAACCTTTCTTGTAATTTCCTGTATGTCTCTTTGTCAATGTGCGTTAATGTTAAAAAATAGATTTTTACTGAAAAGGATCAGCATGATAACGAAGCTTGTCTGCACAGTCTGAATTGCAAGTCCTGTAGTTACATACTTTTTGAAACTGTGAATGTACAGTAGGTGGGGATGAGAGGCTTTGGCTGAATCTATTGACTTTTTGTAGAGTTTCATTCAGTCTGCAGCCTGCAAGTGGGTTTTGATAAGGTGGGATAAACGTGTTGAGTACATTTTTCGAGTTTGCAAAAAAGTGTTATTTCTCACTAAAGAGAGCAGCCATAGCATTACGCTTGTCAGATTGAGGTGCCTCTAACAGAGGTCTCAGCTGTTGCCATAAATGACCTTGGTCCCATTTCTGAGATTGTATCAGTGCTATCTGACACAATTGAAAGCAGTTCGTCCACTTTCTTACAACAGCTCTAAATACGTCCTTGGTAAACTTGGTGTTTGTCGAGAGTCCAGAAATGAATAAGTGGTTGCTATTTTATGTGGTTTTCTGTTTCTGAAAGTGCCAAGCAGTGCTTTAGAGATCCAGACAGCAGTTTTGAAGTCCAGAAATGATGAGATGTTCTCCAGTTAACCATTGGACTTTGAAACATACAGTCTTAGAAAAGAAATATGTACCCTTTCCTGTAAATCATTATTGTTCTGGTAATTAGTGGTGGATTATATAATTCCCCAATTACAACTACTGAGCAAGTTTGTGTAGTTGTTTTTCAAATCAGTATTCAAATGCTTATCTTGGCATCTAAATTTTCATTTGAATGTTCATGTGCATGATGGGCTTATTTAACAGCTGTGATCATGATTAGATTAAATTTGACAAGTTTTTTCAGCGTGTTACTGAATATTGATCAATCTATAACTACACATAGACAAGTCTTTGTTTTAGAAGAATCTAATCAGACTACTGCTGTCAGGTTCAAGGTGAAGACTGAAACAAAACTGAATAAAATCAGTTTGTGACAGCACATTTGAAAAGGTTATGAAAGGGAAGTTTACTGAAATTCATATTTAAGGTAATTGGATTTGCTTTATTTCAAATGCTATTTATTGGGTGTCATTTTAGGATGAGCAGCGCTGGAAAGTGTTTTACAGTGATTTACTGTATATTACTGTTTTGTAGATAAGATCTAAAACTGGATTTGATACGTTTTTAAATGGCACTCCTATGGTTCCTCAATGAAATTGGAACAACCAGTATTTTCCACTTGACTTGTTTCCAACCTGTTGAACAGGTTTGTGAGAACAGATCTTCCTCTGCGAAATCATAGCTTCTGGATTTTATCCTGCTACTTGTTTCTCAAGAGCTGATTGCTAACTATTGGTGTATGTAGCCAGTATAGTACCTTACTAAGTTTTCAATGTCAGAAATGTGAAAACTGTTTAAGCATTCAAGAAGCTTTTATTTTTATCAAAACACCAGGCTTGAATGGCTTCCTTGCATGACCTTATTTTCTCACATACGGTAAAATTGTAAAAATGCAGTTTCCTTAAGAACAAAAATTTAAGATTTAAAGATACAAGATGTATTTTTTTTTTTTCAGAAAAACTCTAAAACATGCTGTGTATGAATAGCCTATACAGTATAAAGCTTTTAGTAGCTTATAGCCTGTGAACAAAAATTTAGCAAACCATGTCTTTGGCATGATTATTTCAGCACTTACTGAAAATGAAAACAGTCATCAAACACAGCTCAAAAATAATTAATTGTAGTGATTTTCATGCTTTCGGTTTTTTACCTGTTTGATGCTGACCATTTTGAAAGAAGGGATGGGCTTCTGGAGCTGCCAGAATGGGTTCTGCTATCCAACTTTGCACAGTTTAAATGAAAGCCTTGAAAGAAACCGAGGCTACTTCCAAGTCAGCCCTGTGGCTGATCCTAATTTTAAAACTTTTCAGAAGCCGGGTTTATAAATCATTTTATTAAATGCATGTGCTGCACTTTACTAAGTTGTTCAAAAATGCACACATTCTGTTTTACGGTAGACATTTAAGTCAAAATTAAGAGTTTGCTGTAAGGTTTCTTGCAAAAACTTTTTGTCTTTTAGACCTTATAAGTTCCATTCTACTGTAATACGCCTACGCATGTTTTGAAACTCCAGCTTTAAGATCACCGCATTTTACTTTAAAGTTTACCTTCACATTTCTTCTTATACTGCAGCATGCAAACTTAAAGAACAGACCTTAATACAGTACTTTGCAAACAGGTGTTTCAGTTCTTACAAGGAGAATGATAAATTGATGGGATTGTAATTAAAGACTGCAGGTCAATTTATTATCAATTCTACAAATACTGACGTGACAAGGTTTCTATCGGAAGATAAATGGCCTGGACTGAAACATTCATTGAATCTTTTTTTTTGGTAGCTGTCATTTACCCTTGCTGCACAAATGCAAAAACAACTGAATCATAAAACAGAGATATACATCTTCAAAGGCATTGGCATCGTTACCCCGATGGACTTTTTAAAATCAACAGTTAAGCAATGAAACAACATAGGTGGAAACTACAGGGAAAGGAGTTTAGATCTTAAAACAGGAAACACTTTGGGTGTGTGAAACAAGCTACCTAGTCAAACAAGCTACCTAGTTCTTGAGGGTAATAACCTGATTTTGTTCAAGAAGTAGCTGTATGAAATTCTTGAATCACTTGAAACTGAAACGAGCAACGAGCAAACATCTCGTTTGTAACCTTTATGTTCTTTAAATAACAGGATGACTGAAAGAAAATACACAGCAGGCTTTTCAAATAGATTTATGCATTCCGTTTATCGCCAGGAAGGGGTTTAATAAAAGTAGGATATCATACAGCGTAGCACAGTATCGAAAAACTAATGTTTGAAGCAGCTGCTGTTCCATAAACCTGTCCCAAGTATACCAGTCTCCTGTCGATATCTTATTCTGGGCATAAGGATCATATCTCCCCGTTCTCGATTACTGAAGAGAAAAGAAAAATGAGCAATGATAAAGTAAACCTTCCTGAGTGCTACATTCGTGCTTACTTGATGTAAAGTCTATTTCATGGTCTGTCAGGTCCTGCAGAAGAAAGACATTTTTAGAAAGGGAATAACCCATTTTTTGAGGGAAATAAATCTGGCCACTGTTGCATATGGTTTATAAATAACAATATGTGGATCTATTCTAGTGTTTGCAATATATTATTTTTGTGATAGGGTTTTCTAGTTTGCTTTGGTAATCTATGGGAATAGAGAGTGCAATGTCAGAGGGAATCTGAGGAAGCAGTGATGGAAAATTACTTGATGGAAACTAAGGGAAGGAGGAGAATAGCTTTTTTTTCCTTGACTGGGTGAAAAAAAAACAGAAAAGTGAAAAGAAAATGGCTGAAAGCATTACAGGAACAGGCCATTTTACAGAGTTAATGTAGGTTTAGAGCTCCAAAAGCTCTTTGAAGATGCCCTAAATAAATGTTCAAAATTGTTGATCATTGATCAACTCATTGATCACTATCTGTTTTAAAAATTGTCTTCAAACTAGAGACGAAGCATTTTAATTTTTACACATCATTTTCTTCTGAACTGCATGTGTGAATGTATAGCATTGCATTCAGTTGTAGTCAACTGTCTTTTATTTATTTTTTAAAATGTTTTAACTGATCAGTGATTTAGAAATAATGGTTAGCCTGCAGGATAGTGATTCTCCTGGGAAAGGTTTGGCATTTGGCAGCTCCTGGTTCTGGAGTTACTGAATGAAGAGTTACTCTTGGAGAAGTCAAGTTTGATGTCTGAAGAGCCTTAATGGTGGGTGCT